ATAAATATAAACTAATAATTATCGATGAGCGACTGGATGCCGAATTTAAATACAGAGAATTTTGCTCCTCAAGCCAACTCTTCCCGTCGGAAATCTATTAGTGCTTCAGTTTTCATGTTTACTGAATATTTAGCTATAATATTCATTGTATATCGATGATCCCTAAAAAGATAAAAAATACAATCAATATGTATGTTTAGCACGTAATATAGTTCGCAGGAGAATTTAAACTTTTTATAAAAAAAATCAAATAATCTGTGTAAATATCGTAGCAACAAATCTAATATTGTTAAAAATTAAAGTTTTTCTTTCTTCCTTTTTTTCCATGAATGCTTTGCATAAGGATGATCTAATTTACAACATATGCGTCTGCGGAAATTAAATCAAAGATCCAAATTTCTATAAAGTGTCGGAGCCGACAAAGGAAACGACTACGGTGCTCATAATTAGCGGGTTAGATGGTAGACAAACATTGGTTGCGTTTCTGTGGTACCAACGCAAGCGAAACATGTGTTTCGAGGGTGACACTGACATTCATCACACGTTTGAGCACGCCCACTTTGTGTCACGTTGTGGCATCTGATTTACAGTTTTAACTTTCGCTTTTTGCACATTTTTCCTTTATTTGTATAATATAAACAATTTAAAATCAATATTTTTCAATAAAAGCGTTTAAAATAGAATGATTCTTAAGTCGTAAGTTATTTAAACTAAAAGTTTTTAAAGTAAAAAGTAGAACAAAAGTACATAATATCATACTTATCGGTATACCGTGAACAGACATTGGCTTATATATAAAAAATAAATAAATAAAAAAATAATATGTTATATATATAATTTTTTAATATATATATATATATGGAAAGTGAGCTCCTTTTTGATTCCTACATACCTGTCCTATAATTATTGTCAACTTATTAAAAGCCCAATCCTTTCGTTCTCTCCTATATCAATAGTTTCAACCCCTTGTTCCACCCCGTTCTAATAATTAAAGGACCTGACACGTGCTAGCCGAAACACTGTCATTCTGAAAAGCCTCTTGAAAACAATAACATTGTAAACGTCAAAACATCAAGATAAATGACAGAAACACTGTTTTAAAACCAGTAATAAATAAGCAAAGTAACAAATAAGCATGTAACAAAATCATTAAAATATTATACTCTCTTAAAAAACAATATTTAAGCGATGATATTGTTTATTGTTTTATAGAATGACCAAATAAAAATTACGGGCAATACATGCGAATTTGAGCTAACGTAAAAATTCGTACGCTTGATTAATAATAAAAGTTATCGTTAAAGGACAAAAAATTATAAGAGTATGACAGAGATATAATAGAATGCTTGCAAAGCAAAAACATATTGCTATGATCGGCAGTGGCAGTGGCTCCGTTCGAATCTCCAGTTCCAAGAATTATATTGCTGCATCATAGAGCTCTCCTTTCCGCTGCACTTTTCTTATTTATTCACATCCTCTATGTGCACGCTTCTTGCTCGAACAGTATGCCAGTTAGCATGTAGAAAGAACAACCAATAGTGTATACCTACATAAATTTTCATAATAAAACGGCATGTCATGCATCCACGCAGAATAATATTGCATTTGTCTTCCGTATATTTTACTTAAAAAATTTTGACTTTAATATTTGATTATTTTAACGTCATCTGAAATGCACATAAAATTATTTAACAAAAGAAAATTGTGCATTTTTGTTAAAATCATGTATTATTAATGCAAGATTTTAAATTGTGACTAAAAAAGAAATCATAGAAGCAATTAAATAACAATCAATTTAATATCTATACTTTCTATATATCGTTAATTTCAGAAAAAAATACATTTTTCAAGAGTGCCACAAGAATATACAACTAAAAACTATAACTATAAACAAAATGAATTTTATTAATGTAGGTAAGCGATTCTTTGATGTCGGCAATCGCCGAGATCGCAGAGAGGGTTTGGAGTCATTAAATAATCCCGTACCAATGGCGGCGGCACACTTGATACTTTCGGAGAAAAGTGTTCAAAATACATGCATTCGCTGAACATGGAATAAAATGGCGAAAAAAAATCGTAGATCAATTTTCAATAGCTCATTTGAAAGAGGAGATTTCAATATTCAAATTCAAGCACATTTAAATTGCAAAAAAATTTTAACAACTTCATGGAATTGTCTAAATTTGCAAAATTTTCTAGGTTTAATTTTCCATCTCGCTTTCTCGTGCAAAAGCATCTTCGAGGAAAAACAATTTATAGAAGTAAAAGTAGAGACTTTGCCCTTTAAAACGACTCCAAGAAAATTGTTGTACGATTTTTTTTTCACAAAGTTACAACAATTAAAAAATCGATAACTTTTGGAGAATTCTTTTAAGATATTTAGTGATCCTTCAATTTTGCTGTTGAGTGTATAACCAGTAACTAAATATGATTCCTGCCATCGATCCGATGACAAATCATGTTCTTGGAATCAGCGTCATATAAATGGTTCGGTTTTCGGAGCAGGAATGCTACTTAAAATATCCTATAAAACATTAACTTTTCGATCATTCACTTTTAACATGTTTATGTGCAGAGTAATAAGAGAAACAAATTGTTAATAATTTTCACATTTGCAATTTTACAAAGTTTATCAGTGCATCTGTAAAATTCAATGGAATTTTTAAAAATAATTCTGTTTTTCATTAATTGATTTGTTTCGTCTATGTGTGTATTATATATTTAAACATCGACAAAAAAATGATCTTGATAAAAAGATTTTGGCGACAAGTAACACTGACCTTTTCATTCGAATAATTTCTTTGAACATTTTATTTTATATCAAAAAGTAATATTTTATATCAAAAGTAATAGACATTTTGAGTAATAATATTAGGTGGTTCACCCTGTATATGGTTGTAGAATTAGAACCAGACGATTTTTTTCTCTATTTGGGAAAGGGGCTGCGTCTTGTAGACGTCTTCACCCTGGTACTGGTTTGTCGGAGCAGTTCGCCGTCTCGCACAGATATATTCACTCATACTTATGCATATCATCACCTACATGCAAATGATTGTGTGGTTGTCGTCTTTCTTTCGTTAGATATGTGTGTTACATGCGTGTAAAATGACTACATGCGTCGGAACCTTTGATCTCAACCATTCATCTCCGCTTGCGAGAAAAAGTCTAATAATATTACATGCAGGGACTACGTATGGATACGAATATATGTGTGTATCATGTGTACTAATATATGCGTATTTAGCATTTCGCAGAAGAACTTTATATATATATATATTATATATATATATATGTATATATAAATGCGTATCTCATCTTCGTGAAACGTTTTATGTGAGTTCGGTGAAAACGTTTGCTATTTTGCCAAAAATGTCAGCAAGTATTTTAAAAACTAATAGGGCTGTATATGTATATATAAGCTCAATTAATATTACACAATGTCAAACAAGAGAGAAACATCTCTTGTGCTAAAATAAATCTTTGCATGAAAGATTGTATTATACAAAGCGTGCAAAAATGAGATATACACTCCGCAAATTAAATTATATATAAAATATGTAATTTTAATTTATATAATAAACATAAGATTATTAAACATTAATTACAAGACATATATCTGCAATTAAACTAGATAAAGCGCACAAAGTGTAATCGATATATCTGTAATAAATTGTCAATTAATTGTCTCACAGAAAATAACAGCACCGAAATTGGGACGCAACAGCAACAACCACATCAGCAGCAGCAGCAACAACAGTACGGAGAAGTAAATCAATTAGGAGGTGTCTTCGTGAACGGTAGACCACTTCCCAATGCTGTTAGATTGAGAATAGTCGAGCTCGCACAGTTGGGTATCAGACCGTGCGATATCTCGCGACAATTACGTGTTAGTCATGGGTGCGTTAGTAAGATACTAGCGCGCTATCATGAAACGGGTAGTATTCTGCCAGGTGCAATCGGTGGTAGTAAGCCACGTGTGACCACACCAAAAGTCGTGCAATACATTAAGCAACTAAAGTTAAAGGATCCAGGGATCTTTGCCTGGGAGATCAGGGACCGGTTGCTCTCTGATGGCGTTTGTGATAAATACAATGTCCCATCAGTATCCAGTATATCGAGAATATTGAGAAATAAAGTTGGCGCCACGACGGCTATGCATCATCATTCACATCACTCAGCTCACCATCATCATCATCATCATCATCTTTATGCAGCTGCCGCAGCGGCTGGTGCAGCTCTTTGTCCGGTGCCGTATCCACCGACGCCTTACCATTCGACAGCACCGTCTTCTATCCCCCATCATCATCATCAAGGTAGGTATTTTCTATTCGATACTTTTTACGTATACAGACTTTAAGCGAGATCTTTTTTTAATTCTCTTTATCGGTATCAATCAAACGGTTAATCAAAAGAAACAATGGCTATTTTAGTTGAAATGACAATTTAATTTGAAATATTTTGTAATATTAACTTATTATCTTATGATTGAGTTATGGATACGTTAGTGAGATACTAGCACACTATCATGGAATTAAATTTTATGCAAGATCGTCATTTTGTGAGTGTATTGTAGCATATGGAAAATTTCAGTAAAATTAACATTGTCAAATATGCGTCATTATTCTCTTCGTTAATGTGTGGCGTGAGCTTGATATAAATGCAACGTGACATGCAGCGCGACGCAGTATTTATGATTTAAAAATGCAATTTCAAGAAACAACATCACATGGATAAATTCAGCGGAGTAAAAAGAAAACAATCTCACCTCTTCTATTTGGTTGCATTTCCAGTTGGACCATCGTCAGCGAGTAAACTGTCATCATCATCGCCTCCAGCGATTTATAATAGCAGCGGACACCACACGACGACGAGCAATGCTTTGCAGTGGCCAAGTTCTCACACTGTACATGACATTCTGGCTAACAGCTGTAATGTACAGAACTCCTCATCGTCTTCTTCGCTAACTTCGCCACTATGCTCCACAATCAACAATCATCATCATCACAACCGTCATAACGACAGTTCTGTTAATAATAACAACAACAGCAACAATAATAACAATGACCATAGGACATCAAGCGGTTATCCTCACCCACATCGTTCTCATCTGGCACACCATCATCAACAGTATTATGCTTCAACGTTGTATCATCATCATCACCATCATTCGGATTCCGTAACGGCAGCCACCATATCATCTACGCTCTCTGTACAGTCTATTATGTTGCAATCTCCAGAAACGACAAGTCAGCCGGCCAGCCCTTGCAATTAGAGGAAATAACAACAAATTGTTTTATAAATTTGGATCGATAGACAGGTATCCAAATGATAAATAAATATTGTTTGGGCATGAATAAACTTTTTAAATATATTTTTACGCATTATAATAATAGAGTGTTACTAATAATGCAATGAAAGCAATCACATTATTGTAATTTCTTATAACAATACAGATTAAATAAAAAAATGTCATATCTGCCAATTATCGACATCATTTTAATAATAAATTTATAGAGAAAAATCATAAAGAATAATCTCAAATAATTAATCTCGTAATTTTGAGATACCTTATGGGTAAGTTGCAATAATCATACGCGTAAAATCGGCTACAAAAAACTGACTGACAAAAAATAAAGGAAGGTTATCAGTATCGAGATTTTATCTTTATTACAACCCAAAATAATGTTTGAGAAACCGTAATATTCCTTGCTAAACCAAAAGGACTATAAAAAAATAATTATCTGTATTCGACGTTACCGGGATTGTTTCAAAAAATATGGAACGTTCAGATTTACACAGCTTTAATGTTGACAGAGTAAATTGATAAATTATATTTATTAATTATAGCTTTTATTTTATATCTTTCCTTTTTTATTTAATATTGATATATCTATTTTATTTCAACATTTCAAGTTACTTGTTAAAGAAGTGCAAGATGCTTTGCAAGCAGCGACAACGAAAGCCAAGATTCGTCAGTACGAAGAGTTTGATAGCCATTCAACCGAGTGTGAGTTAGCGCGATCGCAGAAATTTTATTTTAACCAAATGCAGAAAGCCGCCGAAAAAATACCTGTTACTGGTTTGCTACCGGTAGGCCACACTTATTTTTTGCTAACAGAGCATATTATTGATACATTATGATTAAAGTACAATTTTGTATCAAAAACGGAACGTTAACCTTTAATAATCAATAATACGTCCGATGGAAACAGGAATGGGAAGAGAATATCCGTAAATTGACGAATCTATCACAATTAAATAGTAAATATATGCATATTTTTGAGGAGAAAATGCGGGAGACAAAGGAGCGATATTATAAGACGATGCGCAATATGGCAATATGTCGAATAATAGCGATTAAATGTGAAGATAAATATGACGAAGATTCATTCGTTGTTCCGTCATATAAATACTTTAGTTATACGCAGCTTGCCGCAAAATTTCTCAAAAATCGTCACGCCTTTGCCAAACAATATTATTTATCACATAGACTTATCAGAAGCATCGTCGCAAAGGCTCATCACTTTCTCCCGGAAATATTTTGCGATCTTGGATATTATCGCAATCTTGATTTTCTCTCTATTGACAAGTATATCGATACATCGTATTAATTAAACACGACGTAAGGTTTATTATATATTAAACATATGGACAAATATATTTATTCATACATACAAGATGTACCATCAATTTTTTATTTGCCAATATTTTATGCAGTCAAGTCACATCTGAGAAATGTTAAGAAACGAATGTGCTGCAAAATATGCTGAAAAATTAGAGAAAATAAATGTGGATTAAATACATGCGTTTTGCAGATTATTCAATTCAGTCGAGACGGATCTGAAGAGAAGCGTCCGCATTGTTACCGCTTCATATTATAGCAATATTGTACGATTGGTTTCTCAACGTCGTTATACACAGGACGTACCGACAAGCATTTTGGCACGCTTTCTCAAATGTGCTACGAACCTCCTCGGTTTGCAAATAATCACTCGCGCAATCAATACCATCGAACATTTGTTGAATGTTCTCGCAGATCAAACAACGATACCTTTATTAAAGGTGCGTTTTCAAGGAAATTCAAATAACATTGTTGGACGTTTAAACATAAAATATTATGTGTTAGTAATAATTTTAATTTTACCAAAAATTGCTATAGTCAATGAGTTAAAATGTACAAATAAAATTTATAAATTAAATGTAATGTAAAAAGCCAAATATAGTTAAAATAATTCATGTATAAAAATATATATAAATAATTTAATTAATAAATATTAATAAAAATATAGCTCGAGTTAAAATGCGAAAGCAATGACCTGTTCATAAGTCCGCGATTGGAGGAAGTATATAATGCTTTCCATAATCTTATCGTGAAATAGCCGATATTGCACTCTATCTATCACCACTGGAATCGTGGATATTTATTAAAAGAAGGCAAAGAAAAGGAGAAGGAAAAGGTAGAGGTACGATAGATGTCGGCATTATTGAGAATAACAATGTTCCGTTTGCTTCGCCGCCCGATTGGTACTTGCACGAAGCGCATCAACGTTTAAGCGTAATTTTGCAAGAGGCCTTTCAACCTTTGACCAACTATTTGGAAGGATTACGGCTGCAGTTTGGCTCCATTATTTACAAAACGGACAAGGCATTGAATAATGTGGTGATGCACGTTGAAAAAAAATATCTTCAGGATTACTTTGCAAAAGTCGAAAACTTTAATCGACTAATACGCGTAATAAACGGAATGGTACGTAATTCTAAGTATATTCTCATACAGTCTAATTAATGGTGTAGCTCAATGTGCGTTTAAAAAAAGATAAACAAAAGACACAATGTTCCATGTTAAATGTTACTCGTAGCAAATAACAAGGCAAATATATATTTGCACGAGACTCGTCTCTAAGTGAGAAAATACATTTATATTAAATCCTGTGAATTTTCTAAGTATACAGAGCTCATGATATTTATCCTATTCATTTTCCAAATACAATAAGAATGATACTAATAAAAAAATGTTCGCAGCCCGATAATGAATATTTAGTGACAATAAAATTGCATCAAGCTGTCGCGAAACATGGTCTCGTTACTTCCGCGAATGAATTACGGAAACTTGTTATCGACGAGCTTGTCAAGCATCATTGGAATTACAATCTCGAGATATGTGATACATTTGAAATGTTAAAGGAACGGGCATTAAATGTTCCACAGGCTACAAGAGAATTACTGGAGTTGGGTGAGTTTTCTTCCTAATCTTTCAGTATATTATTTTCTTTTCGTAGCAGTTCATGTATTGAGTTTGTGCAAAAAATTTTTATTAATAATAAAAATTGTATCGCAGGTCAATACATGCTGACAGCAACATCGACATTGATGGTGGAATTACAGAGCAAAATAAAGTTTTCGCTTCGCATGATGAGTTCGCTGATTGAAATGACTACTTTGAGCAGGCATCATATCGAGTTAAATAATACAACTGTACAGTGGTTAAAACGTATCAGGTCGGTTTTCGAGCGTAGCTCAGTAATGTACGAGCAAAATAAATTCGAGCTGGAAGAGAAGCTTCAAGAGGAAGCTGTAAAACTAAATGAACGCGTAGAAGATATGTTTCCTAGGTAAATATGTAGCTTAAAAAATATATCAAAATATATAATGTAATGTAAAAATATTCACAATAGACATTTCAAACTACAAAGTAGAATCTCCAATAGACAAAATACACAACTGGTTTTATAATCTCACAAGGATAGAGATTCTTTAAAAAGAGGAATGTTAAATTAAGCAAATAATTATTCTTTTTTTTTTGTAAGAATTGTACATAAGAAATATTAATTAAACTATAATAATTTCTAGATTGGTTATAATGAATAATATGGACGACGTCGAGCGCATAAAGGAATACATTGAAGACATGCGGAAAATGGTCTGTCAACTGAAACATATGGAACAGAAGGCCGAGTGGATAAATGCTGAAGAGGCATTATTTAAATTTCCATTAACTTTATATCCGCGCGTCAAGGAATTAAAGGAGAACATTTTGCCGTTTTATGCTTTGATTCATCGAGGTTATCAGTGGCAAAGAGATCGCAAAGCTTGGCTGGATGGTACTTTCGAGTTTCTCAATGTGGAACACATCGATAACAAGCTTAATCAATATCTAACCGACTTCATCAAAACTAGCAAGCAGTATAAAACAAAGATCCAAATGCAGAACGCGATCAATTATCCATACAGGTTGTCATATGCAAAGTGTATCTAGCAAGCCACTTTTTGTTATATAAATTTTTTAAACAACGCTTTAACAATACCATACAAAATTATCTAGATTCTAACTTAGATTCAAACTAGTTTTCTCTTTCTGTTGCAAAAATACATGTATTTTCAATATATTATCACTACCGAGTGGTCTTTATTAGTTTTTCAGGATTGATAGACGATCCTGATCCATTCCAGCAACCAGCACCTATGAAATTATGTCATCAATTAATAGAAGACGTAAAGTGGCTTAAGGTACTTTATATTCTGCTATATATGATTTTTATTACCACATCGATACAAACGAATTTTATTAAATTGATCAAATAAAGCTGAAAAGTGTTTAAAAATGGGAACACCGATAAAAATTATGCTTATAGACTTATCATTTAATTCATATTAATCTTTTGTTATCTAGGAATATGTTCCATTATTAAAAATTTTACGGAATCCTGAAATATCACAACTACATTGGGACGATACAACGACCATGGTAGAGCTTGATTTAACAATAGATGCTGGCACTACATTGCGAAAAATAATTGATATAATCTTTACAAATGATTTGGAACAGCAATAAACTGCAATTATATATTGTTGTTTTATATTAAAAAATTAAAAAGTTTATTAAATGATTTTGTAACAATTCGAAGGATGTGTCCGCTGCTATAGCCCTAAAAAATTGGCAAGTATGATGGCAAATTAAGTACAAAAATATGAATACGTGATTGAAAGTTAATTAGCAAGAATAAAGTTTGAGACAGATTATGAAAGAGATATTATATATATTAGCTAAGATAATAATCATAATGTGCAATATAATAGATAGTGGTATGAATGAATGTGTGTGGATAAAAAATAATATTGTAAATCAAATCCTTTCTTGACAAAAAATGCTGAAATAAAAATAAATTAGGTAATATGTGAATAAAAATAATTGCTATAATTGAAAGGAGTTAGGAAGAAAAAAATTTACTCTCGAAGAACTTACCAGTGCAAGTGCGATAAAAGAGTGATTTTTTCAATGATTTTTATTGTAATCCAGTCCATGCCACATTCGTCACAGCGATATATATCAAGATTTTTATATTTATTATCACTAGTAAAGCTGAATACAATATAGACATCAGAGATTAACAAGAGAAATTATATTACATCCTAATTATTCTCCAATTTATATCATTACGCGTCTCAACGTAATTTATATTATAATATATATTATGTATATCTCTTTGAATATTTATTTTTATAAATATAGCTTTCATAAATACTCCAGTATCACAAGTAATTAAAAAATAATCTTGATCGTCTATATTAGATTCACATCGCTGATTACAAAGCGCATCGTATATAAAAGTATCAAAAGATGGATTTTCTTTCCTCGCGAACACACAATCAATCATGCGAGCTTCTACGGGAAAACAGGCAGAGAATTTGAAGATAAATCCTGTAAAAATAAGCGTCATGTTCAGTTTTCCTGCTCGCAAGTTTCGAAATCATCAGCACACTCCTCCGCCTCAAAGTCCTCTTCCGCTGTGGCTTCTTGATACTGCTGGTATTCCGATACCAGGTCGTTCATATTAGATTCGGCCTCGGTGAACTCCATCTCGTCCATGCCCTCGCCGGTATACCAATGGAGAAAGGCCTTTCTCCTAAACATTGCTGTGAATTGCTCGGAAATTCTTTTGAACAGCTCCTGGATAGCAGTGGTGTTGCCGATGAAAGTCGACGACATTTTCAGACCTTTCGGCGGGATATCGCAAACGGCAGTTTTCACATTATTTGGTATCCACTCAACAAAATACGAGCTGTTTTTATTCTGCACGCTAAGCATCTGCTCGTCTACCTCCTTCATAGACATTCTACCGCGGAAAACGGCCGCCACCGTGAGGTATCGGCCGTGGCGTGGATCGCAGGCTGCCATCATATTTTTCGCGTCGAACATCTGCTGGGTGAGCTCCGGCACAGACAGTGCGGAATACTGTTGCATAGACCTGGATGTCAGAGGTGCGAAGCCCGGCATAAAGAAGTGCAGACGCGGAAAAGGTACCATATTCACCGCGAGTTTCCGCAAGTCGGCATTTAGCTGGCCAGGAAACCTGAAGAAATTAATTAATTTTATTCTTGAATATTGCTTTCCTTTCAACAAACAGTGTAAACCATTTTAATTATTATTATTATTCCATTTAATAAATCCTTATTCAAAAGATTTATTGTCATTATGAATTATGAATAAGACATTGATCACTACATATTTAAACATGTGCTAGAAGAAAAGAGAAACAACATATTAAATGTCTGATATATAATAAATTATAAATAAAACGTTTTTATAAAAAAGTTATTTAAAAATTCTTGCAACAATTAAATACAGATTAGCCGAATAGCCAAAGATTCATGAAACTAAGATTATTTGTCAAATAATAATTGATTATGATTTCCAGCTTAAGAATATTTTCATATAAATTAGAAAACTTTGCATGAACTTTATGTGTTGATTTCAATTTTTTTACCGTTTTATTGTTATTTATTGCTGATTTGTTTATTGCTGTTATGGATCTTTGTGCAAACCTGAGACAAGTAGTCACTCCAGACATGGTGAGCGAAACCAGGTGATTGAGATCACCATAGCTCGGGTTGGAAACCTTGAGAGTGCGGAAGCAGATGTCGTACAAGGCTTCATTATCAATGCAATAGGTTTCATCGGTATTCTCTACTAATTGGTGCACCGACAATGTCGCATTGTAAGGTTCCACCACCGTGTCGGATACTTTAGGTGACGGCATCACCGAGTAAGTATTCATAATCCGATCGGGATATTCCTCACGGATCTTCGAAATCAATAGAGTGCCCATTCCAGATCCGGTACCACCTCCTAACGAGTGGGTGAGCTGGAAACCTTGAAGGCAGTCGCAGTTTTCGCATTCCTTCCGCACTACATCGAGCACGGAATCGACCAATTCCGCGCCTTCGGTGTAATGCCCTTTCGCCCAATTGTTTCCGGCACCAGACTGCCCAAACACAAAATTGTCTGGCCTAAAGAGCTTTCCGTAAGCGCCAGAACGAACGGCGTCCATCGTTCCCGGTTCTAGATCCAACAGAATCGCCCGCGGCACGTATTTTCCTCCATTCGTGGATGTTGCGACTAAAATATTAATATTTTCATTAATTTTCTGATCTAACTTGTATAATCATTTTAAGAACAAAATCCAAGGAGGATTTCTTTTTAGGAAACAATTTCTTAATTACAAAGTATAATGATTTTTATTACTTTACCTTAAACTAAAAATGTTAAAAAAACAACTTTAAACTCTAATTTTTACAAACTAAATTGATAAATTTATGATATTTATAATTGATAATTTTGTAATAAAATCTGAATTTATAAGCACTGAAGTAACGTCTATAAAAATAATTATATTTAACAGGTGCATTCGTGTGTTACTTGTGGATGACAAAACGTCAAAGCGTCCATATTAAATTGGTTGCTATTATCATTCCATCAAAAACTCATGCTGACTATTATCGTCAACGGAAGTGTATATATGGTTGGAACCGTATACCTAAGCCGTTTGTGCAAATGAGTCGAGACAATATGAAGATCATACGATTTTATGCGCCGCAGTAGAAAAAAAAATAATTTTGGCATTAATAAATGACCACGCCCTTTGGCATTAATTAATAATTGACAATAAAATATACTTTTACGATATGAGAGCATACACACTTTATTCATTTGTTAATTAATCTATTTTAACTGTGGAGCATGTGCCGCACATTGCATTCTGAGAAATAATTTCATTTTTACGACGCAAATGAATAAAGCAGAAGTCTTGAAATCATGTTGCAGCCGCAATCTACAACCCTAAGTCTGACCACAAAGCAGCTATTTTAAGCGTAAAAGTGTCTCCATGCTCGTTTTCTCCATCAGCATGCAACACGCGCTTTTCTACCTTTCTCGTTATTGCTATTTTCGATACGAGGACAGAATCCGCCAAAAAAAAGAGCAATCTTTATTTAAAAAATCTCTTTCAATTTAAAAGATCTAAAAGTTTATCCTCATTCGTCATACCTGTTATTGCATACTTAAGATTTATTTCTTTATACTTTATTATTTCTACATGCATAATGTGCATAAATCGCATATTATTTATTAGCTATAAAATGATTTTTTTTGTCGAATTTCGAATAGAGTTAAAGTCTAAAAAGAAGACATCGAAAGAATAAAAAATAAACAAATTACATTTTATTACATTTAAAAATAGAAACAATGCAAGATTTTATAATATTCAACATATCCTTACCAGATGCTTCATTATAATATACGGAGATTCGTTCGAGCTGCAGATCGCTGTCTCCGTGATAAATGCCCGACTGATCGATGCCGTGCTCTTCAGAAATAACTTCCCAGAACTGCAATGATGTGATTTGTTAATATTACGCTATAAATAAATTGGTCAAGTCTATGCATTTCTAGGCATATTTCCTAATTAGAAAGTAGCTTAGCAAAGTTATACACATAATAAACCTACAGCGACTTATATCCAAAGAGCGATAAGAGAATGTTTGCTATTTTTATACGCTACTATAAATTTTATTCCACTTTGATTTTCGTCGCGCCACTTGAAACCACTCGATGTGTCAAGTGAAAAGCAACTTCCTATCGAACCGAGCTTATACTCCAAACATCGGCAGCGACGACAAAGATAACAAGCGCGACATCCAAAAATAGGAACGCACAAAATTAACGCGGCTCTCTGGCTCATGTCCACCCTTCCGTTAAACATTTCTCCTCTTTCTCCATTTGTCTTGTCTTTACTATTTTCTCTTCCTATTAATAGCGAACCGGGATGCAAACGTTCGCTATGGTCGCCGCCCTGCGAAGAAACGTGCTCTTCTGATTATTTTAAATGTATTTTCGCTACACTCACGTACGTACATAAATCGCAATGTACTTTTTGTAATTTCAAAGTGATTTCTTTAATGATACACAGTAAATCATATCTACGAAAAAGTGAAGGGACTATTCTTTTCAAAAAAGATGATTATTTTACTTGTTGGACCGAAATAACGTATAAATAAGTATAGACATTCCACTTTTTCCAATGATAGTTATTTTATAATCGCATTATAAAAAGTTTTTTTGTTCTATCTAAATTTTATGTAAAAAAATTTATTTAGTTTTCACACAACTAATTTAATCTTAGCAAACGGATTTTTAAACGACCAATTTTGCGTCCACATATTTTTACGCCAATGGACAATGAAAACGATTACTATAGAATTTTAAGTGCTCTTTAAGTACACGCGATCGTCATTTCCTGCCTCTGCCTTCTGAGTATGCCTCCTGCGTGCAATTAAAACTTGAATCACTTTACGCACTTTTGTACGAAATAGAAGAGGACTTCAATGGCAAGACAAGTACGAATTTGCATGACTTTTCATTATGTTGAATTTAAAGGAATAAACAGAAATTTTGAAATTGCAACTTTTTCGAAAATCACGTTGTAAAAGTGTTACAACTAAACTAGGATCGATACTCTGAATTCTTTCTAATTAACAGTCTTCTCTTTCAATGCAATAAAAATCAAGTTTACTATTAGTTTCCAAACACCTCTATCTTTGAAAATATTTTTTGAAAATTATTCTTGTCTTAATGAAGCTTTTGCAATATTTTATTGACCACACCTTAATAAATAACTAAAGATATTAAACGCTTTTTTGTATTAACATTAATCGCCATAAAAAATCTTATTTCAAATTTAGAACTACTATGAATTCGTTTATTACAACATTGCGTTATCAAAATATTTAATATTGCTAATATTAGTTTATCAATTTGCTTTATCTTTAAGGAAAGATAAAAATTAATTTAAAACTTGTTAGAAGCTTTGTGATTAAAATACGCGTATAGCGCTTAAAAAATATGAAGCATTAAAAATTCCTATGAATTATTTTTCAATTAAATTTTCGAAATTTTCTTCTTATCAAGAAAAAAAAAGTAATTTTAGTAAGTAAATCAATTGTAAATTTATGCAATTTATGATTAAAATACATTCAGTATTTCCGTAATATTTTATACACATTCTCCTCGCATGCTTGAAGATCATGAAGCGCGAAATAATTTTTCTTTAAAATTGCTATCGACCTACCTTTGCGCCGATCTGGTTGCCGCATTGTCCAGCCTGCAAATGTACGATTTCCCTCATCTTGCTTTGTTTTTAGCGCTGAAAAACGGTGCTGATGGCAAGAGAGAACAGCTGAGTTTTTTCTGATCCTGTCAGACTCCTCTTTCCTGCCGTGAATCGAACGTACGAGCTGTGTGCGCGTTCAACACGTAACAGAATGCAGAGCGTGTGCAGCTGAGTGCAACCAAACCGAGGAGTGCAACCGGCCGTCGCGAGTCGAGCCTACGAATGGATGACCGAACTGGAGACCCGACGAGGAAAACGCGCTCGTGTCAGCGTCCTAAGCTCCACTCTCCCGAAGAGCTGCACTCGGCAACAATGAGGTTTAGGCTTATGGGAAGAGCGGGGAGAAATTTGTCGTTTCCCTTATTAGAGCAAGAAGGAGGAAAAGAAAAAAAAAGAGAGAGGGCAAAGAGACTAACGACGAACGATAAATGATACAAGAGTAACAGGGAAGAAAAATTACAGAGCTAATTTTAGCATCGGGGTTACACATTCAAAAGGTTTGTGAATTCCGATTGCATGAATCTGTATAAATTTCCAGATTTTGTATCTGATTTGCATCTTTAAATGGATTACTGTTGTGAATTAATTGCGGAAATTTAGTTAAGGTTTGCGTCCATATAAAATATTATTTAGTATGAAAATATAATTACTTACTCTTTTGCAACATCAAATTATCATACCATGAAGCTCACTCACTGGAACTGTAACAGGAGATAGAATTTTTTTTGGGATAGTATTTCCTCTCATTCGATGCAGGCGAAGGTATCACCTTTAACGGAAGCACTTCAGTCACATGAATTCTGGGGCAATACATGCATCCTGTTAATGTCTGTAATTACAATTAACGTGTTTAATCATTAGAATGTAACAAATATAAGATTAATCTATTCTTAATTACATTAATTTTGTATTTTATGTTTGTTTTATCTGACTTTTAGACAATTAGTAAAGAATATCTATCTAAAAGCTGAAAATAATTAACTATAATTTTCGTAATCATTATTTGTAAGATTTAATTCATGCTTTTCATGTTACCGCTACTGACCAATTGTAAGCAATTTCTTACGACTATCGATAAGAAAGAGATTAATAATTGTTACTTACTGAAGATAATAAAGATATCATTATAAACGATGATTAATATGACACTGCTTTCTTTGACAAGTCTTTGCATTAATTTATGACACTATTGTGACATTACAAAGAGACAAACACTAAACTATTATTAAAATAAATGTTTTATAATTAGTGGCTAGATGGGCTAGATATAGCATTACCAAGCTATTTTTCTTTGTTAAAAAAAACTACACATTCTTAAAGCTCAGAGAGATATTATAATAAATGGACAATTCTGTAGAAGATAAAACCATCAAACTAATTATTTTTGTCTTATATATTATAGAATTATAGAAAATATATGGCACTAGCAGAAACATGCTTACTAAATATCAGATGCAATTTAAGAAATTTGTGTCTCATCTCTTAGTACAAGTTAAACTTTTATACAAAAAATCTAGATTACTTTTTGTATTAACTGTAATGTTTATAAATATTTACCTCAAACAAATAATTACACTGAAAAATTTTTGCTTTACATGTATTAAAATAATGATCAATACTCTCATAACGTATGTTTCATGGATTTTTATTCACATCTATCATGGTATAAAACTGCGTATGATAACAGACAAATATAAATATATACGAAGTTATCGAAAGTACAAAACTCAATGTAGCGTTGGAGGTTCGATTTGTGTAATAACTGGAGGTAGTGCGAGTGACCACAGATTTATATGATAATAATTTATTCAAATATGATAGCGACCGCTTTCAGCGGTTATACACTGAATGATGGTAAGAGCGCGCATAAATTAATAATCAAAAGTAAACAACAGTTCTCAATTTATTGTTGATATACGAGCCTAAAGATATATTTTATTTAAAAAGCAAACAACTTATAGAAAAGCAGCATTCAAAAATAAGATATAATTCTTCGAATTGCTCGTTCTCAATTACGATATTGACCAGGGGAACGAAAGCGCGCTCCGCAAAATTCGAAACAGAAATCCGTACAAAAAAAGATACAAAAGAGGAGAAAATAATCGAGAGGATATCGAGTTAAAAAGCATGGGTGAAGAGCTGTTTGTTGCATTATCGCTCGGTCGAGAAAGAGAATAGACAAGGAGAGGGAAAAGAATAGGGAAAGAGAATATCGCTTCCGCCGCGGGATGTCTTTCTCTTAATTCTCATCGACTTCGGCTTCTTGCTCCTCGTCGAATTCGGCGTCCTCGTCCGCGGTAGCTTCCTGGTATTGCTGGTACTCGGACACCAAGTCGTTCATATTCGACTCGGCCTCGGTAAATTCCATCTCGTCCATGCCTTCGCCAGTGTACCAGTGAAGGAAAGCCTTTCTCCTAAACATGGCAGTGAACTGCTCGGAGATGCGTTTGAACAGCTCTTGAATGGCGGTGGAATTGCCGATAAATGTGGCAGACATCTTGAGACCGCGTGGCGGAATGTCGCAGACGGCGGTCTTCACGTTGTTCGGGATCCATTCGACGAAGTACGAGCTGTTCTTGTTCTGAATGTTGAGCATTTGCTCGTCAACCTCCTTCATCGACATTCTGCCACGGAAAATGGCGGCTACTGTGAGATATCTGCCATGCCTAGGGTCGCATGCAGCCATCATGTTCTTCGCATCGAACATCTGTTGGGTGAGCTCTGGCACGGAGAGCGCTCTATACTGTTGGCTACCGCGGGATGTGAGAGGCGCGAATCCAGGCATGAAGAAGTGAAGACGTGGGAAGGGCACCATATTCACGGCAAGTTTCCTGAGATCGGCGTTCAGCTGACCAGGGAACCTGAGACAGGTCGTGACGCCGGACATCGTGAGAGAGACAAGATGGTTCAGATCACCGTACGTTGGTGTCGATAATTTTAAAGTGCGGAAACAGATGTCATAAAGAGCTTCATTGTCGATACAATAAGTTTCATCGGTGTTCTCGACGAGCTGGTGCACGGAGAGGGTGGCGTTGTACGGCTCGACTACCGTGTCCGATACCTTGGGTGATGGGACAACGGAATAAGTGTTCATGATTCTGTCGGGATACTCCTCACGAATCTTGGAGATGAGTAAAGTACCCATTCCAGAGCCAGTACCGCCACCCAAAGAATGCGTAAGCTGGAATCCTTGCAGACAATCGCAGCTCTCAGCTTCCTTCCTTACGACGTCAAGAACGGAGTCCACTAGTTCAGCACCCTCGGTGTAATGGCCCTTGGCCCAATTATTGCCGGCGCCGCTCTGGCCAAACACGAAGTTGTCCGGTCTGAAAATCTGGCCGAACGGTCCTGACCGTACAGAGTCCATAGTGCCGGGTTCCAGATCGACGAGAATGGCCCGAGGCACGTACTTGCCGCCCGACGCTTCGTTGTAGTAGACATTAATTCTCTCCAACTGAAGGTCCGAGTCGCCATGGTAAGTGCCAGTCGGATCGATGCCATGCTCGTCACTGATTATTTCCCAAAACTGCAACGTGAAACAATGATCTCGTTAGAATAACATTTCTACTGATATCGAGAAAATATTTGTATCATCTCAAATCGTAATTAATTCCACCAATCCTGGTGTAACATATTTCCAAAATATTTCAGTTTGACATTTTCGTACAGATTTAATCGCGAAACCTATTCGATTGAGAGAAGAGCGTTGCCGTGTACCTTCTTGTAGCGAGTTTTCCGTGCCGGAATGAATCAGCACTCAAAAATTAGATTCGCGTTCTGAATATCGCATCATCCGCGCGTGTGCGCATAGAGAAGGAAGTTTCGCACACCAGCTTTCACCCTGCAATTATCCTCGCATCCGTTTCCAGCCGACCATTGTATTGAGCGCTAACGGAGTCGGTTCAACGACCTCGCTTACACGGCGAATAGCTTGCGTGTAATTAATCGTAATATTCAGAAGCTGCATCAAATTACGTTTTTTTCTCTTTCGTATTTTTCGAAACAAGCTCATTTCTCGAGAGTACAACCAAATCATCCAAGCGATAATCAAGATTAATTAATCCGGAATATCGTAAATGCCGTTTCGTTCCCGTCTAGAGGAGCCAGTCGATCGACACGTCGAAGAGCATCCCGAGCGATGCAATGCGGCGACGTTGCAGTAACTAGCTATCGCCACGTAATCTCTTAAAGGCGCCCGTTTCACCGTAATAATCGCTCATAATTGGCGTTTCATGCTGAATATCAATCGCTCTCAAATATTTTCCCATTCAATGTTGCAACTAAAATGCCGTAACTTTTTTTATTGAATTTTAATTAAATATTCATGTATAATCATACATTTTATCGAAAATTAATATAAATTTCATTTTATTTGTAAAAGGTGTCAAGTGATTTAGCACTGCACCTTAAAGAATGCAAGAATGCAACGACAGTTGAGAAAGTTCTATCGAATCAAATTATTTCTCCCCTGAGAAGCGATTATTGAATAATCCGAGCTCCATATACTACCTGTGTGAAAGTCACAGTAAAACCGTCAGGTCCGCCTACCATTCGATACATGCGTCCCACATGGAAACGATGGGTGTATTAAGCAGTGACCATATTTGAGCATCGTCGTCGAAAGCTAAGAGATCGCCCAACCCTATCTGGTCCCCTCTTCCTCCCGTCTACCTCCTCCACCTCGTTCACTTAATCGCGGTTATGTATATGTTACACGCAGATGAATCATCAATGTCACCGCTATATATAGAGATGATGATTGTAAAACCGCGACATGGTCATGCAATTAGTAAAAGCGGCGATTGCTCGATTATGCAGCGCGGCGAATTGTTTGTCCTTATTCCAACTTCTCCCGATTTCTCTCGAGACGATGTTCTCGCCTGAATCTCGCACTTGCACGCCAGAAGCCGGCGACAGACACGGTTGACGTAGCTAGACCGGAAGAAATGCGAAAGATTGTACCGTTATTCTAAGTGCACACATACCGCGCGTGCGACGTTGCACTACGCGTTATGTAATTGCCGCCAAGCAGATGCAATTGGTCCATGTGTGGTCCCGAGGGCTCTACCACCGATTTACTGAATCGCCGTTTACGATAGATAAAATGAGATGCACGACAAAAGGAAGATTAGCTATCATTATTCAGACTGTCTACTCATATAATAAATATACTAATCAGAAAATTTACACTCGATAAATATGCTAAAAGTAAAAAGAATTAAAGAAGACTAACTGTACTATATTTGCTATGAACGTACAAATTTTATACCAGAAAAATATTGTGTCCCTCCTTAAAAAGAAGATATTAAATGCGTTCTGTACATTATGTCACAACCGCTGATAAGAGTTTTAAGATATGATAAGGCAATGACTAAGCGGGGACTATATTTTTTCTTGCAAAATACATGGCTCTATAAAAACATTGTATTGTAACAGCACAAAGATATTAATAAATTACATATTGAAATATATAGCAATGCGAGAAATATTTCAAGAAAACAACGTTAAATAGACATAACATTTCACATTTAATGAAATTCCATCAATATTCAAAGTATTCAAAATATTCCAAGTATCAACGCATCATCGTTTAACACAGAAGTTGGCTGAAAATTGAGAGATATTTATAATCATTTCCAATTCTTTATCCATATATAAAATTAATTTTAAAGCTAAATCGTCATAAAATAGTATTCGTCATCGAGTCGCGACAGTAGACGAAACCCAACCTTACGAATCGGTACGATCGATACACCTGGCTATATCCAGAGAATGAGAGAGAGAGAGGGTCGGGTCGCTCGCTGGCAACAAGCGAAACGGTTCGAAACGGTGATGCGAAGGAAAATGGCGAGAGGATATCGCCGGCTTCCTTTATTTGGGAGTGCGTTGCCGTGGTACGCGAGACTCGATGTCCTTGGACTCGAAGGCGTTGCTGAATGAACACTCATGCAATCGTTACACAACGAGCTTGTCTAACAGAATGTAGATTGCATTACAAAATTAGAAAAGTGCATTACAAAATTAATCACGATAACGTAGTTGCGTTCTCTCGCTGAAAACATTTTCTTGTTAATATGTTCCCATTGCCGCTATAGAGATTATAAAAAGAGGGATAAAACCTTCTGATATTACGCTAGCGCGACGTCGAATCGATTGATAGACAGCTCAGGAAATGGACATTGACTTGGTGTAACAGCCTTAAAAATTACGGAAGCGTAACGACGAACGTTGTGGTCAGCTTCTCCTCGATTTTTATAGCTATCATATACAATCTCTATCGTAGATTATTTAGAAGAATATTAATACTGTAAAAAAATTGAACGTTCGAGCGTATCTACTTGTGATAACGCAAAGTCGCGCGTTCGTCAACTGTTTATTAACAGCGTTGCATAAAAATTTTACAATACAATCGTTGGTCTTGCGATGGACGCGCAGCCGTTAAACGTGACGCCGCATGGCCGATGGACGCGACGCGCAGGAATTCCACTTATTATGAGACGTACACACTGAACAACGAATGCAAACGCGTTCCATTTACGCTATTTTAACTGGTTTCGGTATAGCAAAACAATATAATGCTTAAAAAAATTGACCAACTATACACGGTCTGATCGGGACCGTGTGAGGCTTTTTGTATTATAGAACAATTAAAATTTGTTATTTATCGATTCGGTGTGCATCTACCTTTACACATGTCAAAATAAACGTTATGGAAAGATGATACTAAAGTGAACATTTAGAAAAGATATGACAATCGATTACTTATGGTAAAATTGAATTAAACATTTAAGAGCGTATTAAACAATAAAGATGGAATATATAGAACGTTTTCTATTCTAGTAAACTTTTTTGCTATATATTACAAAGATGTCACGGAAAATTAAGCGGAATAAGTTGCCAATCGATGTTTAATCAATGAGACAGAAAAATTGACAAGGCCGCCAGGAAAGTATTTGTCGGATCGAAACGAGAGAACGCAAAAAGATGCGCACGCAGTCGGTCGATGTCGCTGCACAAACTGATGATCTCGGCAGCCAGGAGATATGCCACACCCAACCTCGCGTCGGCTTAGTGACAGATAAATTCAACGACATTCGCGAACAATCCGACCGATTCGCGCATTTTTTGCCCCGTCGGCCGTCGGCCGTCGGTGATAGCGTGGGGTACACAGGAATACGAAAGAAGATGGCCGACGCTTGACGATGCCTCGTACAGGAACGCACTGGTACGCGACGAAAGAAAAGAACAGGGGGGAGAGAGACGAAAAAAGACCGTTAGGCTTTACCGGCCGGCCGGCAAGCTCTGCCGTCAGCCATGACACGGACGGGCGAGGTCGCAATTTTTTCGCATTTTTATTCTCACCTTCTGGACGAAAATATCGATCCGCACCCAACATGCTATTTTCGAACGGGAATAGCATGTTTGCTAATTTCTCACTTTTTTACAAGTCAAAAATGTTTCCCTTCCTCACTTTTAATTATGCATTATTCGAAGTCGGAATGATTTTGGGAGAATCTAGACAATCGCGCAGACAAAAGAAGCATCGATGATAGATTCGCGACAGTTTCCGACAACAACTTGGTCAAACTATTACTTTACGAACAAAGGAATGCACGATACGACTGTTTTCTGATACATACCTTGGCTCCAATTTGGTTACCACACTGGCCAGCCTGGATATGGACGATTTCCCTCATGTTTGCTCGTGCGGATTCTGTCGGTGACCTCTAAAGAGAACTTGGTACTATCGCGGCGGCGACTGCGAGCGATTGTTATCGAACTGACTCGACGGTAAACGTGTGGACTAGCGCGTTGCAAGAGCCCAGAAACGAGTATGCGACGGTTACGGTTCCGTTACAGATTTTCAAGCCTCCTCGGCGGCGGGAGAAGGTGAACGGTGGGGGATACGAGCGTAGCACGCATTTGATTGGTGGAGCCGCCTCTGTTCTGTTGCGATACGCGAGCGGTGACGAGCTGAAGCGTTTCCAACTGCGCGTGCGGCTGCAGCAGACTCGAGCTCGATGCTACACAGATACAGACTTCTACACGAATGCCATACACATAGCCTAAACAACTTCAATTCGTCGAAATTCAAGATGAACCACTACGCAGCTCTGCTAGCCAAGTCAAATCTAATGCAGTCTGATGCAGTCTAACGCTGTTTAGAATCTCTGGAACGATAAAATGCGATTTTTAGTACGATTGTTTTTTAAGCACATTCACGAGATGCGTTATTGCCGATGGATATTTTAAAGCACACACGATGCAAGTAGTCGGCGTAACGTTGTATGACGTTCGTTGAAGTGGATGGACAGAACGATATGAGACCTCATCTTAGCTTCCTTTATATTACTTCTCTGGTATAGTATATTTTCAATTATTTACTGTAAAGCGATAAAAAAATTTTCCAATGATTAAATAATAATACTGATCATTGAATTCTCTTACAACTTTATAATAGAATTCTTTGGTTATGACATTTGGTCAATACATTTAATTGTCAACAAATTTTCAAATATTCGATCTGCAAAATACAGAAAGCAATTCACAAAATTTCCAAATTTTGCAATATAATGTTACAATATTAACATAATTCAATAGTTAATTTTTAAATTCTAGAGCTCTGAACAATTGCTCTAGTGATTACCGAAGCTATTAGTTCTGATTGGAAATCCTGATTAATGCGGGTTAGGGTAAGTTTTATCACAGAGAGGTCATTTTCGTACAAAGAGGAATTGTTCGTTCGGTGGATATTAATGTAGCATCATCAATGCAATATGTTGATATAAAATAATTTTGTCTCGTAAAATCGATGCGAGAAATGATTGCTGTAAATGTATTTCCAATGCTTTATTACAACATTTCCGGCCATGCATCGTGTACGAAATATGTGTGCTTGCAGCTTATCGATTTGCAGGCGTGGCTGGTGATGGCAAGCTAGTGTGATTACAGATGTGAATGCTCTCTGCAGATGCTTAATTGCTGACATTCTTCAAGCCGGTATCGCCGACTTTTCTCAAGTAAGCAATATTTGTTAAAAATTGAATTAATTTTATCACACTTCAATTATCTCTACATATCTAGATTGACAATTTAAGATATATTGAATATTATAAGACGTATTAAGATATCAAAACTGTAATGGTTCATTAAGAACAATGAATCAACTGTATACGTTCCTCCTCATTATTCTATTAGAGTCACGCACGTTACAAAGAGGAAACACGCACGGTAATAAGTAGAAAATGCATAGAGCGGGCGAAATGTGCGTAAAAACGTCAGATTCTTTAAATTATCATTTTTGTTAACAAGCTGATATTCCGTTTATAACGAAATTTTGTTAAAAATACGAAATATGTGAAAAATCCAAAAGTACAAGATTCTGGAATATCAAGACTCAATTTAGCCAGCAACAAATTATTTGGGGAATGAAACGGGATTATTATTTAAACGCTCGTTGCAGGAGATTGCTAACGAAAAGCTTGTCGTTTTGAACCCATGCTGACTTGCAGGAGAAGGTCTGCTACCTAAAAAATAGCAGACGGTCATAAATAGCGATGGCAAATATTTCGATAATAAAAAATAAAGCCAAAACGTGTGAAAAAAAAATTAAAACTTTCGCAATCGCGCGCGCGCGCGTCTCCAGGCGACACTCACATTCTCGCGATTGAGAAAAGGTACAATCGGCCACGACGACGATCGGGGTGTAGCCGATCCTGCCTTGATCGTTACCTTGTATGGATTAACCTCGCGTACCGTCGTCGTCTCGGAGAGGAAAGGAAAAAAGGTCGCACACGCGCGACACGCACTCGCCCGCGCACGCATGGTAGCGACGGATTTCGCGTGATAAATGCGTGACGCGCGTAACGGGGCCGACGACATCGATCATGAGAGAATACCTATGATTATCGTAATTATTATAGCCGGCGCAATTCCCATTCGACACTGAGATCATCGCACTGTCCGTCTCTCGGTTTGCACGCGTAACACGGTAGCACGATACGCATCCGACATGTGAGTGCATCGACCATCTCCTCAATGCTTCTATAGAATTATTATCTTCCATGCAATCTCAATCATTGTTTAAGATTGCATGAGTCATATTGACAAAGCTGTAAAAATTTCATAGATTATTTTATTAATATTTTGAATATTTGCACAAAATCTAGGTAAAATAATATACCAACAAAACTTTAACGAATATCATTCGATTTGAAAATTATTTATCTAAACAGCAAAACGTAAGCATTGCACTATGCAATTTATTCTGGTTGTGACAATTCATTATCTTGTTTCTAACAACTCATTTGAGAAAACACATTTACATCGAAAAGTTATCTTTTTTTTTACTGTCAATTAGGAAGAATATTAATTACAAATATATTCTTCAATACAAACGTTAAAATTCAAATTAGTTTGTAATATTGTTAGCTTTCTGCGTAATCCAAAGCGATTTATTTGCTATTTTAGTATGAAATAAGAAATATATTGTTTCTAAATTTCGAATTGTTGTTTATAACATTTGGATAAGGGGACAAGACTGATTAGAGTTTTAGATACTTGACGTAAGCCTTTCGTCACTCTTGCCGCAGGAGATTGCATAATGCCCGGTAGACGAGCCATCCACGTGGATACGCTCGGCTTAATGCCCCATGCCCATTGTCCTTCGTTGTCTTTGCCATTAAGTAGCGGGATCGTGAGCATAAACGTCGAGTGACATCACGTCCACTTTAGAACCAAAACACTCGTATGCTGCGAGCAAAAAGTGACACTGGCGTCATTACGACCTCAATAATGAGCGATTGATCTGTATCGATCAATTTTACTTAAAGTCACGAATTGAGAACTGGCAAAATAAATTATTTTAATATTTTCCCGATTTACACGTTCCTGATTGACGCGAATACAATTAAGTGCATTTAATAATTTTCGTGTGAGAGTTTATTTAAATATGTCTTAAATTAAAAACAAACTTCTGATTTTAATTGAACTCGATGTAAGCAAAACCGTGCGAATCGGAAACGCTGCAAAATCTAGATACATGACATAATTCATGAATTGCTTAGGCCAAGGCTTAATACTCCTACGATTAGCCTTCAGCCTTCGATGTCAGATCTAATCGATCGCGACATCGATAAATGTATTGCGGATACCAAATTTACGCACTTGGTAACAGACAGTAAATTACATTATTCTCTACGTATGTCACAACGCGGGGGTGAGCATGAGTCACGGTTATCGATCTTGGATTGGGGTGCTTTTTCGCTGTGAATATTTTCATTCTTGACGCGACACGGAAGAATTTCAACGAAGAAATCGCGCGCGCGAATAAATGTACCTTGGTGAAATAATTGCGACCAGAGGGTTGTTGTACAAAATTACCGTGAGTCAGAAGCACCGACGGTTGAGTCACCACCAACGATCGATATTGTCTATATATACATATATATGTATATATATGTATATATACATATATATATATATATATATATGTATATACATATTGTTGTGCCGCAGAGTACGACATTTTTGCGAACCATATTTAGCCGATTTTAATTACTTGAATCAAAATTTATCTCCCATTTTTTATCTAAATTTTCAAATCTTTGAACTTTAAAATGCTAAAAATAAATTTTCGGACAGACGGAAAAAAATAGATAAGCAAGTTAGTGTAAGATACAATGTTGTTCAAATGCTAAAATTGTGAAAATTATAGATATGAACGTTAACGCTTGTCTTTTACTTGTTTTAATAAGATTAAAATAAATGAAATAGATAAAATTGTGTAAGAATAGCATACAGAGAGGAGCGACCCAGACTGATGAGCGACCAGACCTTGCCCCGCCTAGAATTTTATTGATCCTAAGAAAGTAAACGGCAACTGATACGCCTAAATGCTTTCGCAGACGTATGTCGTCCTTAATTTGTCTCGTTACTGACGTAATCGAATTAGTGAAGAGTTAAGTCAAAAAACTGTGTGATTATGTGCTAAAATATGAGATCTCAAAAAAATTTTTTTATATAATGTTAAATGAATGACGTAATGCATACTTTCTTCATAAAACTACCACCCACCGAGAAAAAAAAACAAGTTCCAAATAGAGTTTCAGCAAAAAAAAAGATAAGTTAACGGAATTACACTTTATTTATGGATCAAGCACGACAGTCGTAAAAAGCACAATGACAATCCGCGGTGAAATCGTGCGACTCGCCGCTGCACTTTTGCAAGATATCCTTTCTGAAGCATCTCGCTTGTAATCTAGGCCAAGATTTTGGTACATAACCACTTTCTCGTGGGATCGAACGATGCGCGAGCTTAAAACAGACAACAACGTCCGCGTGTTTGCCGTAAATGGCATCGTTTTCCAACACGTAGGTCGTATATAAGTGTCATGACGAAGAAAGACGAAGTCAATAAGCCGCTCGACATCGATTTAAAAGCAAGATTACATCCATCTCTTCTTTTAAAAAAGAACATTCGCATGCCTTTGATTTTTTATTAAGACAAAACAGTTTCACGAAAAAATAAAAATGTTTTTAGGGACGAGTCTAAACGTTAAACATTGATTCGTTTTTTATACAATAAAAGAAATGAGTTGTGTTTAATTCACATAATAAATAACTGATAATATAATTATTTTTTATCTAGAATCGAACATTTGATCTACGATGCGTGTGCAATGACTCAATATTGTTTTGCGTGTTTAATATAATATGAAAAAAAGTAGATATATATTATAGCAGAATGCAGAATGCGTCATGCTGGATCTACCGATGCCATTTAAAGGCAATAAAGATCCCCCACTTAATGAAGACAGGATCGAGAGAAGTACCACACTGCGAGGGCACTCGCCTAAAACGAGACGTTAGGTGGGCCGTACAAGGCGATCTCGTTAATCGTTTTTATATACTGCCACATGCAAAATGCAGTAAAGCAATTTAAATTCAAAATAATTTGTTGAAATATCTGCCAAAAGATCTCTGATTGTTGAAAACTAAAAATTAAGTTTAAAAGTTAAATTCAGTCCCAAATATAATTTCAATCGCGTTTATAATTCATAAATTATAAAATTATTATTACAACTTATGAATCATTTTGTTGTTACAATTTGTTGTAACAAAAAGTACATCTACTTGCAAATTCGGGTAATTGATGTTACCTGAAATATCCGTGAAATAAAATTGAAATTTATCATTGTATGCCTGAAATAACTTTCGTTGATTGTCGGTTGATTGCAAACGGTACACGAAAGCACAAAAAAAGCTTAATGCGTTTTATCGCGTTTTATGATCTTTGAGATTAAAAACCGGGAATTTTCGTAAGGCACATAATTTCGCAGATTTTATCACTTCCCTTGGATGTTTTTTTGTCTCGTCACTTCTAATCAACTTCTGAAATAAGTAGAGCACAATGAAATTAGGTCTTAGATTATCTCTCGATCGAAATAGACTAGCATTAAAAGCTCGTGATCCACGCCTTCGATTTGAATAATAGCTCTCCGTTATCTCACTGTCAATTTCGATAGAATTACGAACAAAATGCTATTTGAAATCGCAAATTGTTGTTTGGTCAATCTTTGTTGAATAGATAGTCGAAATTATTCGACAAATAAGTTGAACGAATAATGAAGGGTATCGGCCTTCTTTGAACATAAAGACACTTGTATAATAAGTGGCACAAGACCGCTTTCTATTTATGTGCGAAAGATTTCTTGTATGTATATCTCGGACGCGATGCTGAGAATGTCAGCAAAAAACATCTGGGTTAACTCTGATAATATCTAATTTTGCGCGCTTGAGTTTTTTTCGAATTGTTATTATCAGAATATTGGCTTGATACGCGCTATAAATAGCATCTTGATTACCAATTTTGCTAATTATATATGCTTGATAAAAAGAAGTAAAAAGGAGACGAGAAGGATACGCTGATGCGTTATTACATTCAATATAAAAATTATTTCAATATTAAAATTTATAAAGTTTTCAGTATACAAAAAATTCAGTATACAAAATTGAGCGATAATAGATCATATCACGAATAAAATTGTACAAACCTGCTACCATATGAATAAAACGTATCATTAATATACATGCATATTACATGTATATTATAAATATGTGACTTATTATATTTTCGATTGTTCTACAAGAAAATCCGTCACTAATTTATTGAACTCTTCAGCATACCTTAGATGAAGATTATGTGCACCCTTTTCGAAAATATGAACTCTGCAACACAAGAGAAAAATTAGTAAAATACTGTGTGCGTGTGCAGATTATATTTACTTTCAAACTTATAAAGATACGAACTTCGAATTGATGATGTTTTGCTTTAAGTATGTCGGATGTTCCGGCAGGACCATTGCATCTTTGGCTCCATGAATGATTAACGTCGGACACTTTATTTTTGATAAGACCTGTTTGCACAGATCACCATTTTGCTTCTTGTACAATCGTAACATTGCGTCTATCCAATTTGACCAAGTATTTCTGAAGTGATCCTCACCATAGACTTGTATCATAGGTGCCTTCATTTTTTCCGACCACTTGTTAATGTCTCTTATACCTAAACAGCAGTATTTTATGAAGAACAAACGAAATTAAATATTCGACGCATTCTCGATAATGCAGTAGTACAATTTTTCTAATTCTGAATTTTTTTAGAATTCTGAAAAATTTTACATCAATCATCTTTTCGAATTTTAGCTATCTTAAAATATTGATTACAAGTTTTAGCGACATTTCGGAAAACATTAATTTTTGTTACCACAGTTTTGGTATTTCAAATAAAATAAAGTCATACTTTCATATGCTTTTATCTCGTCCGGGTGTATGTACGAATTTGCACCGAAGACTATCATCTTGTTGATGCTTTCGGGATATGCTGAAGCAAGCAAAAGCGATGTGATACCGCCGTCACTCCAGCCGACCAAAGAAAACTTCGAATAGCCCAAGGTTTTCATCAGATTGTGAGCCCACGTGGCGTCACGCTGAAAAAAATCGTCGGGAAAAGTTCTTTCTGGTGGCCGTGATTTTCCGTAACCTGGTGGATCCCATGCCACTATAGTTAGTTTGTCCACGTTCAGATTTTCGACCTGCGGCTTAAAATCAGTCCATATCGATCCTGAAACATTGATCTTAGTAAGTAATAAAATTCTACATGGACAATTCCTTTTTTTAAATTCTAAATAATATTTGTGTTGATTTGTTCAAAATTTTATCAGAAACTTATGAACAATATCAATTGCAGTTTTGCATAGTTGTTATAAATAATTGATAGTAATATAGGTAATAGCAATACATGTAATAACGAATTAGTTATAAATTAAGAATCGATTAAAATTATTCAGAAAAAAATTATTTTAGTCTATATTTTAATATTCATCTCAATAAATGGTAGCAAATATCAGCACAATATTGTGCCTATCATTTGCAGTTTTGCGATAAACTACTACAAATGTTGTTCAACTTAAAATACAGCGTCTGTGATATACAAATACTGATCTGTGTAGACATTTGTAACTCGCGGGTCGTCCGGCGCTGCTATAGCCTACACAGCTGATCTTATTGATTAAATAAAAAAAAGTCTGTTCGTTTTCATGCACCTTTATGCCAAATTATTACATTATTATTTACCCAACGCGCCAGGCAACAGTAATACCGGATGATCACCCTTGCCAACTCTGGCATAATTGATTTCTGTGTCGTCTACTTTGATTTTTCGTTCCTGTTTGACAGTAAATACAGAATCAGGTTAATTACTAAAATGGCAGTCGAGACGGTAAAACAGCAAGTAACGATTTGTTATTTAACATTTACAATTTCTTTTTACATACCTCTACATTCCGGGTTTTACTGGTCATCGTCGATAGTTGTCGATTTCGTAAGAGCAGACTGTCGAACTTTACGACTTTGCATATTGCTTTTGGGAAACTGCATATTTTATGTGTACCTGATAACATGCTGCTATCTATGTGTTACGTGAATGAATAGATGAATCAGAATACGACACAACACTGAAGCTGAAGACGACACAACAGTGTCTGTCTCGGTCGTTTACGACCACATATACAATATAAATTTGTGCACCGTGATATCGCACGATAACATGATTATGATAATAATCAAATTTATTGGTATCAGTGTTTACACTTCAAAACACCATTGAACTTATTAATAACTTGATCATTTTTATCTCAAAATAAAAAATAAAATTATTTTTACGAATACGAAAATCGCATGACCGTCATAAAAGCTAAAGTTATAATATTTTATCAGATGCAATGTAGAAATAATCATTTATTGAAGTGGGAATAAACAAAAAATAACACATTTTGAAATGTTGCATGACATTGCATCACATATAAATATTAAATTTATATTTCTGAGAAGGCTATATGTGTGTGTACTTTGCAGTCATTTCCTAGAAGCCACATATATATATACCATTTTTGTGTGTGTATATATATATATATATATACACAAAATTTTTCTTTTCTTTTATTATAAATATTATAGAACATGTCTATTTTGTTTTCTTCATATAATATTAAAAACCAATACAACTATGTGTGTTTGTACAAATATGTAATACCGTTGAAAAATTAATAGGATAAAACTAAAAAAAGGTACAAAATTGATATTAAGCCATACATTTAAATAGAAATTAATTTTAATGATTGTACGATCGTTAAAATATTTATTTTTGATTATACAGTAATGGTAAAAATGGAAACAATTATCAGGTTTAAGGCATGAACAATGGCAGTAATGATCAAAAGACTAATGCATATACATTTCTACATGGTAAATAAATAAATGCAATTCTCATGCAATCGTCTTAATGTCGATGGTTACGCGAATTTATAATAGTTTTTTATAAAAGTTTCTACAAAAATTGTGCATTATCCACATAATTTATGAAAAAATTTCATCATTATCTTCAGAAAGAAAAGAAGTTCTTAATTGAGACTTAGCTGTGCTTAATGACTCTTAAGACAAGTGCAAAAAATAGTGATTAATATTACACTTAATCATAATCCTATCGTAGATAGGAATAATAATAATAAATGATTCGAAATAGATTATGATTATGACTTATCATGAATCCTGCTGATTACGATTGTTTTGTGTTCTTTGATATTCTTCCGTCAAATATTTTTTATATTTTGTTTGATTGTTCCATAACTCTGCTGCTTCAAGATTCAGTGGACTCTCATTGTTAGGCTCTGTATAACAAAGTATGATACAGATCAATATATATTTTCATTGAATCATCATATAAATTCACCTTTTATTACTCACCACCAAGAAGAGATTGTATGGAGAGTAAAATAGTGCGTACGTCATATAGCGCACTCCACTTATCTTTCAATATATCCAGACAGATGTTACCACCGGTATCTACGTTTGGGTGAAAGCATGGAGTAGCAAAGCGTACCATAGGAGCACTATATGGATAACTATGTGGAAACTCCAAAATTAATTTGTAAGTGAGACCAGCATATACCTGTAATGTATCAAATATGTATTACATGTGTTGCTGTTGAGAAACAAAATTAAAAATTCAACAATTTAGATGATTTAATAGGTTATCTTACCGTATCTCTTGGTCCTGTGATAGTTCCGATCCACTTGAATAAATTTTCTCCTTCTGGAAAAGCAGATACTCCTTGGTCAGTATTCATCATTAGCACCATAAGCTCTTTTTGCAATCTACAATAAACAGTGACAGATAAATTAGAACAAAACTTTCATGAGACAATAAGTTGTACAAGTATATAATTATTAATTATAAATATATAAATATCATCAGACAAACGAAGGAAATTAAAATGTTACAATCAAATCTCGCAAAACATTTCCGATATGGATAAAACTTTTGAACGAAGCTCAATTAGTCCAAGCGTATAATAATCGGTTAGGTTATGTGATTACAGTCGACTATATCGATTATATCAGACATTTCTGAACAGTGTAGGAAAATTTCGGAGATCATAAACGAACAATTTCATCGGCAATTTGTTGAAGAGAAAACGGAATAGCCAGCTTGCATTTAACATCTAACCGACGGACTCGATTTTACGTACCGTTTGCTGACCGCATGATTGTCCTTTGGCAAACTCTGCTTCTCCTCAGTGGCTTTCGTTGGCGTATTCTGTGTCGAACTAAACGGATTCACGTTCTGCGCCATCCTGAGGCACTGGCGCAAATTTTTTCAGTTGCACACGAAAATCGTACGAGCAAAGCTCTTTCGACTCGCCGACGAACACAACACACAGCGGAAATTTGAATGCTGCACGCGTTCTACGATCAGACCTGAAAACATCGAAGAGCAAAACAGCTGTTGCGTCGAGCAATCGCTCGTCGTTCGCGTCGAGTTTACCAGCGTTTCGTCGATCACGTCAGATCGTGTGCTCGCATGCGTTTGCACGTATTCACACGCATTTTAATTGCAGTACGCGTCAGAATCAACATATATCGCGAGTGTTGCGAAAAATCGTATTTTTCCTGCATCAATGGATTCCGAACGAAGACATTTGTACGAGAATATTCCGTGATCAATTGTTTTGCTCATCAACATTGTCTGTACAATGTCCAGAAACATGTGAGAAAATAATCTAAAAGCATGACGGAATATATTAGTTCAGGATAATAAAATTGTCAGTGAGATATTCGTCGAAAGTCGACAACATGTTTTTCTGATCACCTTTCACATAATATATATATATATATATATATATCGA